CAGCTGGATGAGACCAAACCTAGGAGAGCTTGAATAGGCTCCGGATTCAGTGTGCTGTCAGGATGCTGAGTCCCCATGTTTGCAGGACCCTGCATAAGGTGTCCAGTTATGTGTGATGGCCCTCAAGGTGGAGAGGTGGCACAGGGGGTGGCTAGGAGATCCAGGAGGGATTGTGTTCTCTGCCCTCCGCCCCTGCCAGTTACCCCCTTCCCTCCTTGTAGCTTCGGAACCAAAAGGAAGCTTCTCAGAGCCAAGGCCAAGAACCACAGGTGCCCTCAAACAGCAAGCACAGAAGGTAAGAAATGCCTAGGCTTGGGGTGGGTTGGACTTGCCACCAGACTCGGACATGGACACCCTGTCATCCCCCCCCAGGAGTTCCGTATGTCGTTTGAGCAGCCGTGAGAAAATCTCCCTGCAGGATCTGTCGAAGGAGCGCCGGCCTGGTGGGGCAGGGGGCCCCCCTATTCGGGATGAGGATGAAGGAGAAGAAGCCCCAGCTGGTAGGGATACCAGACCCCTGGGTCTAAGGAAGGAGTATGGGCCTGGACTTCTGATACCCAGATAGAGGTGACTGGCATCTCTTGTGATATTCCCTTTGTCCTGCACATAGATCACCAACCCATGGAACCAAGAGCCCTCAATGGAGTGACTTCCCCTGTGTCCTCCAGCCCCAAGAGCCCTGTGGTGAGTATGACCAGCCTGAGCTGATGTGAGCTTTGGGGCAATGGGTGGAATACGGTAAACACTTCCACCTCCACTCAGGAAGGTGGCCTTTTGACTTGGCTCCTAGGTCCTTGTGGACAAAGCTATTTTTTTGGTGGTGCCTGCTCTGGCTGTGACTTACGGTGGTTCTCCTGGAGAACTTTTGGGCTCTGAGGAGAGGGTTCATTGCTTTACTCAGTAATGAAGACCTTCGTTCTTCCCAGATGCCAGAAGAGGCTCCCTTCTCCAGGCGCTTTGGTCTCCAGAAGACAGGGAGCTCTGGTGCTCTGGGTCCCTCAGAAAGGAGGGGTGCAGAGGGAGTTCTTGGTCTTCAGCGTTCAGCTTCCTCCTCCCTCCTTGAAAAGGCCTCCTCTCAGGTAGGTGTCGGGAAGTGTGTGGGGTCCAGGCTCCCGCCTTGGAGCAGAGAGTACCTCCTTTGTTTCTCTCCTGTGCCCACAGGCCAGGGAGCCCCGTCTTGCCAGAATAACCCCTACTCCTGCCCAGAAAGTGCCAGAGCCCTCTGCCCTGTAAGTACCAGGGGCTGGGGCAGGGGGACAGGTCTGGTGCTATCCTGGAATTTGAGATCCTGAGAAAGTCCTTAGGGTGCAACAAATAAATGCTTACTGTAAAACTCCCAGGCCACTGTGCTCCAACTGCCTCAGGGCCTTTGCTCTTCCTGTTGAGTCCTTAGAGCTGGCTTGGATTTCCTTCTTCACGTCTGCCTGTTTGCCCCCTTTCTCCCGGGCCCAGTGGGACTGCCTTGCTAACATGAACTCAGTACATGTACCTGGCTTATTCTGTTTCTTTTCTCCAAGCACCTTCTCTCGCCATGCTCCACACCTGCCTTTTTGGCTGCTGTTTGTTATGTGCTTTGCTCAGAAATGACTCATCAGCAGCCATGGCTGGTTTACTCTCTGTGGTTCCTCTCATGCCTGGCACAGAATGCAGGCCTGAGGACTATTTGCTTATGAATGAATCTGTGCAGGTGTGAGGCTGCCATGCCTCCTTCTTTGGATCACTCTGCTCCACCCACCAGGAGGGAGCCTGGATCCCCAGTGAAGCCAAATGTCCTCACAGCCTCTGCAGCGCCCCTAACTGACTCCAGGGATCGTCGGAGGTAAAGAGACTAGGGGAAAACAGCACTGAGATAGCAGTGTTGTGTGTGGGCTCCCTTGGGCTCTGGGTAGCTTCTGGGGTACTGTTTGTCCAGTTGAAATGTTCTCTGCCAGAATGTGCACCCTTCTAAGGTGTCATTCAGAGTGTGACAGCACTCAAGGGGCAGTCTCTTGAGTTCAGGGTTCTCCACGTAGGTCCTACCAGATGCCTGTGCGTGATGAAGAATCCGAGTCTCAGCGGAAGGCTCGCTCCCGCCTTATGCGACAGTCTCGGAGGTCCACACAGGTGGGGGTCTGTGCTCCTGGGTCTAAGGGAGGAGACTGGGGTCTGTACACTGGGTCTGATGGAGGAGGCTGGGGTCTGTGCTCCTGGCTCTGAGGGAGGAGGGCTGGGGTCTGTGCTCCTGGCTCTGAGAGAGGAAGCTGGGGACCTGAACTTGAGTCCTGTCAAAGTCTAGGCCCTTTTCCCTGACCATGTTCTTTCTGCTAGGGTGTGACTTTGACAGACTTGAAGGAAGCAGAGAAGGTGGCAGGGAAGACCCCTGAGCCAGATCAGCCTGTCCCGTCCAGCCTGGTGAGCAGGGTCAGGTGAAGTGGGACTGGTGGAACCCATCTCCCTGTTTCTAACTGTGCTCCTCCCTGGCAGGACCCTTCTTGGAGACCTCGGGTCCCTGGTGTGGAGAATGCTGAGGGCCCTGCCCAGAGAGGTGAGGTCTGCTATCTGGGAAATCGGTCCCCATCCTATCTCTCCCATGAAGTCTTTTTGTTAACTGGGGGCTAAGTCAGGTTTCCTGCACAATAGACAAGGGCCCTTGTAGTGGTGTCTGAACTGATTACCGCTGTTTCCCTAGCAGAGGCGCCCGACGGGCAGGGCCAGGGACCACAGGCGGCCAGGGAGCACCGAAAGGTTGGCCATGAGCGAAGGGGGCCAGCAGAGGTGAGGATGCTGTGTGGAGGGTGGGCAGGCAGGAGGGAGGGCAGGCCTGGACATTGGATGGAGACTGAACTCTCAGGGCTCTTCTGCAGGGGGAAGAGGCGGGGCCGGCAGAGCGGAGCCTGGAGTGTAGGTAGGTTGGGTCACGCATGGGGGCTGGGGCCCGGCTCTCCAGCAGGGCCTGGTTCCTAAGACCTGTAGCTTCTGTCCAGCACTGTGGATGGCAACTCCACTGCCCGCAGGCAGCGTTCGCAGAGAGACCTCAATCCAGAATCCAAGCAGGAACATGAAGAGCCTGATGGAAGCTTCCGGAAGGTGCAGCATCCCACCTCATGCCCTACTTTGCCATGTTGTGGCTTTTGCTGATGGCCCACACCTGGCCCTTCTAAGTCTGCCTGCTTCTTCTCTGTTCCCAGCTGTACATGGAGCTTCGAAGGGAGAATGAACGGCTTCGTGAGGCCCTGACAGAGACCACCCTGAAGCTGGCGCAGCTCAAGGTGGAGCTGGAGCGGGCCACGCAGGTACAGATGCTGAGACCTAAGAACCAGCTGTGTTGGGGACAGTGAGAGGCAGAGCTCCAGTTGCAAGGGGCCTGGCCCCGGCTGGTTGGAGGGTTTCCCCCCTGGGGACGGGGCTCTGACTGGACTAGGGGTACGAGGTGACACCCAGTCTTTTTTGTCCTCACCAGAGGCAAGAACGTTTTGCTGAGAGACCTGCGCTCCTGGAGCTGGAGAGATTCGTGAGTTTGGGCTGCTGGGGTGGGCCCACTGTGTCTTGGCCTTGCCCTGCCCCCTGCTTCTGAACCTGCCCCATTCCTTGCAGGAGCGCAGGGCCCTGGAGCGCAAGGCAGCAGAGCTGGAGGAGGAGCTGAAGGTAACTGGGCTTGTGATGGGCAGTTGCCAGAGCCAACCTGCCTAGCACTACCCGGCTGACTCCGCTCTGTACCCTAGGCCCTGTCCGACCTCCGGGCTGACAACCAGCGGCTCAAGGATGAGAATGCAGCACTGATCCGCGTCATTAGCAAACTATCCAAGTGACTCTGGAGGAGTTCCCGCACCATATTTATACAGCTGCTTTTGACACACGCACCCCTTCCCCCGAGTGAACATGAGTGACAGGGCTCCGGGGGAAGTTGCTGAGAAGCCATAACCTCCTCTCGGGACCTCAGAACCGGGAGGAAAGTACAGAGTCCCCAAGAACCAAGGGGGGCCCTCTGAGGCCAGGATGGAGGTGGGAGGCTGAGCCAGGTAGGGAGATGTTGCTGAGAGTGGGCAGGCACCAGAAGTGGGACCAAGAAGGAAAGCAAGGACCAAGAAACACAAGATCAGTATCCAGGAGCAGAGTGGATGCCCCGGGGCCCCACCTCACGTGTGATGCTACCCTGCACTCCTCCCCCTCCCCTGCAGGGATCCAGGAATGTGCCAAGAGTCCCACTGGCCTCTGCCAGGTGGGCCTGTATATAGGGTCCATGTGCAATAGGGAGGGATGTCTTCTATTTTTGCTGCCTCCTTCCCACCCGTTGTCTGGGGAGGGGGAGAAGGTATTTTTGAGACAAAGCACAGGCACCACAAATAAAGTCGTGACATTGCCACTCAGTGACTTGTCTACCTCTGGGTGTGGGGCACTGTTTCTAGCTTGTATGCTCTGGCTGTCTGACTTAAACCACTCGTCCATTTGGATGGGGTCCAGTGGGTGACTGGGAGCTTGCTCACAGGTGTGGGGAGGGCACCTTGCTAAAGTGATCTGCTGGAGATAGGGTAAGAAGGGTCAGACGGAAGTCTGTGGCTCTCTGATACGACGCTCACATTTACTCTCGGTTCCTTGGAAGTTAGTGGAGTCAGTGGCCAGCATTGACAGTGTAGGATGATCCACATAGAGAACTCTGCAAGTTTAGCTTCTCTGGGAAAGGAGTGATGGTTAGTAGTCCTTTGCGGCCACAGTGACAGGAGCAGAGCCAGGAGCCAGTCTTGCAATGGATTATACCTCCATCCTTAGAGTCAGGAATGAGCTACTACCAGTGGGCTCAGTTCTGCCTGCTGGGGTCACAGGAGCTCCATCCACCAGCCAGTGCACTGTAGGAAGGAGGTAGCCAATGTGTAGATTTCAGTGTGTAGGTGGTGTGTATGTTGTCTGATATGGACTGTGTATATGTGGTGTGCAGTGTATATTGTGTGTGTAGTGCATGGTATGGCTGATGTGGGGTGTTGGTTATATGGTGTATGTGCATGTGGTATGTCAGGCACATGTGTGGTACATGTGTAGCTGGTATGTATGTGTGTGGAATTTATGATAGTAATCAAAAGTAGGCTCCACGACAAGCTGCACAGACAGATACTAGAAGGTGGCAGAGTGAGCCATGTATTTGAGGGAAGCATGTTTGCATGCTGAGAACCACATGTGCAGCATGGGGTATAGTAGGCCTGGCATGCTTTGGTGCCCAAGGAAACTTGTGACTGAAGGGAGATAGCAGAGGGTAGCAGAGGTGATGACTCTGTACAGGATCATGGCTCTGCTAAGAACGTGAGCTCTGGGGTGGGGGTTCTGACTTGAGCTGTAACAGCTTCCCCTAGCTGGCTGTAGCCTGGAGGAGAGTGGACAAGGTGATCACAAAGGGTGAAAGCCGAGATGAAAAGGTTCAGATTCAGACCACAAAGAGCCACAGGCACCTGATGGTCCAGCAAGCCAGCTGGTTCCTACCTGCATTTCAGCCTGCAGCCTGGGAGCTCACTGCAGGAATTCAAAATAGTTTGGGCAACTGCTTGCATTTTTGGTTTCTCTATTAGAAAAGAGGGTGGCAGCAGGGTACCTGCCAATAATCCCAGCATCCAGGAAACTGAAACAGGAGGATCGAGAACTTGGGGCTATATACAGACTGTCCCCAAACCAGTCAACCGGCTAACCAACCAACCCTGACATAAGAAATGGCATCCCAGGCAGTGATCAGACTCCATAGGGCCAGGATGTCCCTGGCAGAGCCAACAACAGCATGAACCAATGCGTGGAGTCCCGAAGAGAGAGGAAGGGTGCCTTGAGCCCAGAGGGGTCATAAGCCATCAGCTGTCATGCTGGAGTTAGGGTTTCTCACATGTACAGGAGAATGGACAGGGAAGGCGTATTGGAGATCAGCAGTGGCTCATGTTCTAGAAGGGGCCTAGGGAACTTGTCAGCCTAAGGCTGCCTCTTTTGGGGCGGATCTGAGATGCGCCACCTGGTGGCCCAGGTAAGGACTGACTGCGCCAGGACTACAGGCCGAATGCACTCAAAGATGCAGGGAAAAGAAAGGTCTTAGAGATATCTTGCCTGGATGAGAAAACCGGCTCTTATCCACTTGCATAACCTGGGCAAGTTGCAGGGCTTGGCAGGAAAAAAATTCTTGACGGGGCGGAAAGACCCACGAGCCTGTGGCATGCCCAGGAAGCATCTAGATCTCCACGGCTAGATCATTAGAGGGTGGGCAGAGGTGTCCACACTGTGACTAGGTGAGCTGACCTAGAATGATGAAGGCTGCTCCAACTCTCAGACACAGTAAGTGGAAAAAGCCTGTAGCTGAAAGGGGCTGGGCCGAAATGCAGAGTGGGTGGAGACACGAGGCATTTGAAAGAAAAACCCCAGGCTTCAAATACCAGGTGAAAGAACAGAACAGCGAGGAGCCAGGGAAGGATTTTGAACACGAAAAGGTTGTAGGTGGGGCTAATGCGAGGATAGACTGGAGTCTCTAGGACTATGGAGAAAAAACGTGGGGCATTCTCAGATTCATGGCTCCTTGGTAGCCGACAAGAGATGGTGACAGCAGGTGACATGGCCTAAAAAGGAGGCTGTTTATAGCATATCACAACGCACAGGGCCCTCCGCGCCTTTTGGGCGTGCCTCTCTGGTAGTGTCTCTCTGCTCCGCCCCATTGCCCATTCCCACTGGTCGGGGGGTTCCAGTCTGCACAGTCAGTGCAGTCTGCCCGCTGGGTTAGCGGGGAGGACCAGGTTGGGCGATCCTTCAGGACTTCTATTGCCACTGGTGATGGGGAGGAGTTTGGCGACTGTTGTCTTAGGGGGCGCTGGGAACCCCGCCATCTCATTATGTTTTGTGAACGAGCCAGGAAGGATCAAATAACTTCTGTTTTGGCCTCGCCTTCCACTTTTTTCTTTTGCTTCTCCATCACGGCCTCCAGCTCTGACACTTTTTCTCTGTCCTGGAGGGCGGGGTAGAAATCAAGATCTGCCTACGTGAATTCTGGGCGATTCTCCCCCACCCCGCCCCTGCCTCCCACCGTCTGGAACGAAGGATTCACTCACCTCCAGCAGCGCGCGCTGCACGGTGACTTGGCTGTACACTCGAGCCCCTTCCTCGGGACACACTGCCCGTAACTCTTCCTTTTGCAGTGAGAAGAGCTGTGCACCGGTCAGGACGCCGAGGGCGTCCACAGTCCTGAGCAAGGTAGCATGGGCCTTCACAATTCAGCTCAAACTTCCTCAGTCCCACCAATCATGTCACACCCACCTAGCTGCTTGTCCAATCAGAGTTCTCAAACAAGGAAGGGTTTTCAGGTTTTGGAGTTTGGGGACTTTAGAAAGGGGATGGGACTTCCCTGTGGTCTCCTTTTGGAGTCGTCATTGGACTTTGGGCGTTGCAACTTGGGCCTGCCCCTGCACCATAGTTTCCACGCCCCCACCCTTGGGCCAATCGGAACCTCGACTTTCAGTTCAGGTATCCCTCTCTGCAGACTAGTCCCGGGGAGCCCCACTCACCCAGAGCTAAAACCCTTGGTCTGCAGCCAGGCACGGACCACCGAGGCCTCAGAGCTCGGGCTGAGCTGGGGCTCCGGGGCGCGGGGTCCCAGGGCTACCCGGCTGGGACCCGAACGGCCCTGCGCCAGGCGCGCCTGCAGCTCCTCATTGACACTGAGCATCTGGGAGAATTTCTCTGCAGGAGGGAAACCGTGAAGGGAGGGAGTGCGCACTCAGGGTTCTGGGGTGAGAGGGTTGGGAGCCTCTAGCATGCCCAGGGTGGAGCCTGATAGATACGCGAAGATAAGGCTCTCTTCCCAGAGTGACAGAGTGACACTCTACCACTCACCCTTCTCGCTGGGGTCCAAATTGTTGAGACTGTCGCAACTGTCCCAGTGGGGCCGCACCTGAGCAGGGACTGGAGCTGGTGCGGGTGGGGGAGGAGGAGTACTAGTCTCCTTGAAGGGAATGAAGAGAGAGAGGGATAAGGCTTCCAGCCCCCTTCTCAATAAACATCCGAACACTCCCCTTTCCGAGCAGTACCCTTCACATCTGAGTTTTTTCTGCCTTCATCCTCAGTACCCAGGATCTTGCCTCCACTTCTTCACAAAGAAACAAGAATATGTGGACTTACTAGGTTTCCTGCAGGACGTTGGCTGTGATGCACCTGAGGTCCAGGGTGAAGTGTCAGGATGTTATAGGGTACATAGCCCTCCTGTCCCTGATGGTCTCGAACCTTCCACCACTTGCGCTTGTCATCCAGGACCTAGGTGGAATATAAGAAAAATTCATGACCCGGTTCTATGCCTAGGACTGAACTGACCAATTTCAGGGTTTCAGGCTCCACACTGCTAACCTCCAACACATCTCGGTGCTTGACAGACAGTTCGCTGCTATTTCGGGCCTGGAAGTCATAATTACACAGAACCCACTTTCTGGTTCTTTCTTCTAGCTGGGACTCAGCTTCCAGTTCTGGGTCTTGATGACTGGGAAGAATGAAATTGGTAGGAGATAAGGAGATAGCCAGCCCTGCTGGTCTGGACTATAAGGTGCTGGTGTGAGGTGGGGTTAGAGCCAAGCAGGGGTCAGAGCAGAGGTCCAGGTTAATATGTTAATATAGACTTGACATTGGAGTCACAGCTTGAATGTAGTTAGCTCATTTCCTTGCCTGGTACCATGCAGTAAACTACAGCTGAGTATTATGTTACTATTTAATTCATTATGGGGTGCTGGGGATTGAACCCAGGGCCTTGTGCATGCTAGCAAAGTGCTTTACTTGCGAATTACATCCCCAGTTCCTCACTTGCATCTCTGTTCTTAATTTTGTATGTGTTTTTTAATTAAACTTTTTTATTTTTTAATATTTATTTATTTATTGTGTATACAGTGTTCTGTCTGAATTCTTGCCTGCAGGCCAGAAGAGGGCACCAGGTCTCATTATAGATGGTTGTGAGCCATCATGTGGTTGCTGGGAATTGAACTCAGGACCTCTGGAAGAGCAGTCAATGCTCTTAACCTCTGAGCCATCTCTCCAGCCCCTTTTGTATGTGTTTTGTGTGCATGTATGTGTGTGCACCACCTGTGAGCAGCACCTAGGAGAGGGTGTCCTAAAACTGCTTTCCTAGAACTGGAGTTACAGATGATTGTGGAGCTGGGAACCGAACCTAGGTCTACTGTAAGAGCAGACAGTGTTCTTAACTTCTGAGACATCTCTCCAGACCCTCACTTGCATTTTATTTATTTTAAAGAGAGATTTATTTACTTATTTTGTGTAGAGTGTTCTGCCTGCATGTATGCCTGCATGCCTGAAGAAAGCATCAGATCTTATTATAGATGGTTGTGAGCCACCATGTGGTTGCTGGGAATTGAACTCAGGACCTCTGGAAGAGTAGCTAATGCTCTTAATCTCTGAGCCATCTCTCCAACCCCTTGCTTGCACTTTACCAGTGAGAATGGCGAGACTCAGCTAGAAACAGCAGATCTGTGCCGATCAATCACTAGGATAACGAGCAGGGCACAAACAAGAGCTAACCCTCATGCTTATGTAGCAATGCCTGCCGATCACCGTTCAGATCTCATTCGCCTGTAGTTCCGTGAATTTGGAACCTGCTTGGTTTTTCCCTTTTCCTGAGATCGCACTATTATCCCCACCCCAACTTTTTTTTCTTTGTGGTACAGGGGATTGAACCAGTGCCTTGTGCATGCTAGGCAGGTACTGTCCACTGAACCATATCCCAGTCCCTCAGTGGTAGATTCTAGGCAAGCTTTACCTCTGAGCCACATCCCGGTCCTTCAGTACTAGATACTAGGAAAGGCTCTGCAGTGGAGCCACGGTCACAGCCCTTCACTGGTTGGATTCTATCATTAAGCCATAAGCCCAACCCTCACTACCGGATCACAGGCAGTCATTCTCCTGCTGATCTATGCCCATAACCCTTTACAGATGGATTCTCGGAAAATGCCTGCCACTTAGCTACAGCCCACTCCTTATGTTGCTTTATATGTATGGATTGTTTTGTTTTGTTTTTTGAGACAGGGTTTCTCTGTAGCTTTGGAGTCTGTCTTGGAACTCGCTTTGTAGACCAGGCTGGCCTCGAACTCACAGAGATCCACCTGCCTCTGCCTCCTGAGTGCTGGGATTAGAGGCGTGCGCCACCACCGCCTGGCATATATGGATGTGTTGTTTGCATGTAAGTCTGTGCACAACTTGTGTGCCTGGTGCCTGCAGAGACCAGAAGATCCCCTGAGACTGGAGTTACAGATGGTTGTGAGCTACTGAATGGGTGCTGGGAATTGAGCCCTGCAGGGTCCTCTGGAAGAGCAGCTAGTGCTCTTGACTACTAAGTCATTTCTCCAGTCCCTCCCAGATTGCTTTCTATTTTATTTATTTTTTATTTTGAGGCAAGGCCTTGTTGCTTTGCCCAGGCTGGCCTTTGAAGCTTACTCTGTGGTTCAAGTAGGCCTTGAACTTTTGATCCTCCTGCTGTGTGCTTCTGAGTAGCTCGGATGACAGGCCTGCATCATCAGAATATGGCCATTATTTCAATTTTTTTAGGGAGTGTAGTAATGGCCACCACACCAGAGAAAGGTATGACTGAGCTGGCCCCAGGCTGCCCCTGTCAGGGTCACTCTGAACTCTTGAGTTGAACTCAAGGTGAGCCACAGCATTGAGCTCTTTGCAAGCCCCTTACAGCACCAGAGACTCCTCACCCTTCCAGACAAAGAAATTACAGCCAGAGAAGGTGAGTAAAAAGCAGGAGGCACTGAGCCCAAGACTCAGAAGCAGGCAGACAGAGGCGAGGGTCCTGCAGCACCAGGCAGCCTGGGGGATGGTTGGCTCTGGCCCCCGAGCAAGAGAGACCTTATCCCGGATCAGGCCTACCTGTACAAGGGAGAAGGGGACTCTTCGGGGCCTCGGTGCCTGTGTGGGGCTGACAGCTCCCAGTATGCCGTCCCTGCTGAGACCCTCTGCTTGGGCTCTCACCTAGACTCCCATTTGTCTCCTCCAGTTCTATAATTTTGTACTCAACCCACATCCACTCCCTTCACTCCTGACCCCTATTTGCCAAAGGACCCTAAAGTTGTGACCCCTCTCCACCACTTCCTCCCCTGGACCTACAACCCTCAGCTTGCACAGTTTGGTAGAACTATACATTTAGGCCCTAGTTCTTTCCTTCCCAGGGAAGTAGGAAGGAGTCCAGCTCTTGGCCTTCAATTTCCTCCGCCCTTTTAGCCCTGCAAGCATTCCAGTTTGCGCCCAGTAGATGCTATTCCTTAAAGCCTTAGGAAGTCAGAAGCCCCACCCTGTTAGTAGCCCGGAGATGCCAGCACTTTCTAAGTTTCCTCAGACATGTATCCAACTTCTCGGGGAAGTCCTAACCTTGCTTTAAGGTCTCCATCTTTTCTCTAACAACCAGTGTTCTGGGGATTCAAGTATGGTGCTTCCCCAGGTCCTAGGACACCTTTTCAGTCTTTTGAGGACACTGGGGTCCTAGCCCTTAGACACACCCACTTCCAGCACCTTACTTTCTTAGCTTTAAGAATCTAAGCCTCCATTCCCTCTTCCCTTGGACCCAGAACTCTGGGCTCCTCCCCCCTCCCTCCTAGCTCCTACCCCCACCCTAACCCCAGCCCCGCCTCCTCACCACCTCACCCACCTGCAAAGAGCCGGGAAGACAGAGGGGGTAAAAAAAAAAAAAAAGACAAGAAAAAAGAAGGGGAGAGTCGAAGTCAGCGCCGGGGTGACCCCGGGACTCAGTCCTCCCAACTCCACCCCTGGCCGCCCTGCAGCGGACACTCACCCATTGACAGCGATCTGAGGGGCGCTTTGCTGTGGGAAGTAAGAGAGCGTGGGGTCAGGCAGGCTGGACCTCAGATTTCCTGCTCACCCTTGTGCGGAAAGGGGAAACTTAGTGCTTCCCTGGCAGCTCTGCCTCACCTGCCTGCGCCGCTTCTCATGTTGTAGCTGTTTTTCCACTGGGTCCTCCCAGGCGCGGCCCTGAGGGTCAGTGGCTGGAGGTTCCCAGCCGCTGTGGAATTCGGGACTGTATGGAGATCCTTCTTCCGGGGGCAGCTCCACCCTGTGGCCAGAGACGTGACCAAAGGTTAGGCCAGACTAAGCCAGGGGCTTTAGTTCACAAATTTCTCTCTTCCTGTAAACCTGGCTCTGTTTTTAAGATTCTAAACTCCATCTTTCTTTGTCTGTCTCCACCGTCGAAGCCCCACTTAGGACACTATATTTCTTTCTTAGCTTTTTTTTTTTTTTTTTGAAAACCAACTTTTTTTTTCCCTCCAAGATTTTACTTATGTACAGTGTTCTACCTGCATGTACACCTGCTGCCAGAAGAGGGCACCAGATCTCATTATAGATGTTGTGAGCCACCATGTGGTTGCTAGGAATTGAACTCAGGACCTCTGGAAGAGTAACCATTGCTCTTAAGCTCTGAGCCATCTGTCCAGCCAGGGACATTATATTTCCTTGTTAAAAAATTTAGAAAAAAATGTATGTGTATGCTGGTTTGCTTGCATAAGTGTGAATCCCGTGTGTGCCTGGTGCCCATAGAGGCAGAAGAAGGCATCAGATTCTCTGGAACTGGAGCTACAGACAGCTGTGAGCCACCATGTGGGTGCTGGGAATGGAGCCTAGGTTCTTCGGAAGAGCAGTTTGTTCTCTTAAGCACCCGTCAATTATAGTCCTAAACACACTGGTTCCACTCTCCTACCTCCTCCAGCCTCTGAGGCCAAAATCATTTCCTATTTGGGGGGTGGGTGGGTAGAGGATTGGGACAGTCTTGATAGACAGCCCTGGCTAGCCTGGAGCCAGCTATTTAGACTAGTCTGGCCTTGACTTGCAGATAGTCTCCTGATTCTATTTCCTAAGTGTTTGATTACATAAAGCATTTATCTATTTACTTATTACTGTAAGTGTGTGGGCGTGGGTGAGCACATGTGAAAACCAGAGGACAGTTCTGTGGAGGCAATTGTCTGCATCCACATTTAGATAAGAAGTTCGGGGATAAAGCTGCAAAAGCTCACACCTCCAGCGCTGTGTGTGACAGGGTCTCAAGCTTGGTTTCTAGTGGAGGGCAGTCTTAAACTTCTGATCCTCAGGTCACCACTTCCCAAGTGCTGGGATTCCAGGTGGGTGGTACCAAGCTCAAGTGTCTAGCTACTTTCTAAATACTTGTATCAATCCTCCTTGCCCTTTGACCCACTCCTGGTCTCTCCAGGTCTCCAGCTCTGCTTCTGCCCTTAAGCCTCCAAGCCCAGATTCCCTCCCACTCCCAACCTATAGAACACACCTTCCACACACTCCACGTTTCTATGTAGCTGGATCCCACTCACATAACCACCACTCCTTGCCTTGTAGTCCATCTCTAAATTCTCCAAGACTCCGCCTTTTGCTTCAGTCAGACTGGTTAGAGCTTAAACCTTTCCTTCACGCTAATCACAAGTCTTTTCTCCAATTGGATCCTGGCATTTACCCTAAATCCCGTCCCCTCCTCAGTTTATTTAGCAGCATCCTGCCCGCCAAGTCCTGCCTCTATACTCTGCTTTCCCCTCTCACCCTGGGCGGGTCCAGGACTCCCCCAGAGAAGTCCATAGTGCACTTTCGCGAGGAGTCACATTGTCGCGGAGCAGTGCCACAGCTTCCAAGGTCAGGTGCGGTCTTCTCACACGGCTCGCGAACTCAGGGCCGCCTGATGTGTTCACAATCTACCAGGCCAACAGGAGGGAGCATGCCAACACGACATTCTTGAAGTCTAACTCCAATCCTTCCCAAATGGGGGGGAGGAGGCCCTTGAGGGCTGGAAATGAATCTCACCATCTGCAGAGGTCCGAACAGAAAGTGCAACAGCTCTGGAGAGGAGGGGTTGGCGATGTTGCCCCGCAGTCGGGCCTGGATGGAGGCAGGTCATTTAATATTATTGCACAGGTGATGTCAGAGTCGTAGGACCCTCACCCCAATGAAGCCCAGCAATGGATGCGTTCTCACCAGCAGACTGAAGGCGTATTTAATTTTCTGAAGCACGTCGGTGTATTCAGCTTCCGTGGGTGGCTTGGCTCGCAGCGTCAGCAGGCCCTCTGTGGGTTGGGGAGCACGTGAGGTGGTGGGGACAACCAGACAGCATTAGATAGATAATAGTTCCAAAGGAATAAGCACCCAAACAGATGGCCTTAGGAAGTCAGACCTGGCTGGTGGTCGGAGACCCCAGGGAGAGAGGATATTTGGGCGTCGTCTAGCAGGGTGTGGCTCCGTTAGCCATAAATGTCTCTTACCTCCGGCAGCTCGGCGTCGAGTCCTGCGGCCGCGCTCGCGGTGCTCCAAAACCCGGGCAGCCTCTGCCGACTTTTGCAGTCTGGATACGAAGCTCTCCACGTCGTCGAACACATGGTTCAGGATATCCTGCCACACGCAAGAGGAGCAAGAGTCTCAGATGCTGGTCTAGGTCCAGGCCTTCCAAGCTGAGCTCCTGACCCACCTCTTTCGTCAGGCCACGCCTATAACTGGGGCAGTGGGTGGTCTACCCAAAGTCTCCAGCGACAGACCTAGAACTAAGCCCCTCCCGGGAGCTCAGTACCTCTGCAGTTGTCACACCTAGAAGAGCCACGTTCCTGAATCTCGCACCCCGGCCCTGGGCTTTCTTGATCGTCGCGGAACTCGTTTTCCGCCCCAACCTGGTGCCTCTCTTGCATGCTCACCACGTCCCGCTCCGCTTGCAGACCGGCCAGCTCAGGACCCCGCGGGCCCAGGTCTGGGGAGGTCGGGATAGCGTTGCTTGTAGTAGTGCGAGCTGGGCCGGGTCTCCTCGCTTCCTCCGTCTCTGGAATTGGCTCCACCTGGGGTCGCCCACGGTCCGTGGATGGTTCCACTGAGCTGATCACCGCGCGGATTGACGGACGACGCTGTAAGGGCGGGGTCTCTGCGGCGGGAGAGGCGCCACGTTGCAGCTCCTCCTGCGTTGCCCTGCTTAGTGAGAAAGGGGAAACTGAGGCTGAGCCAACCAATGGGACCAGGGAGAGAGAGAGAGAGACAAGAGGTCAAACGTGGGCTGGGCGTTTTATAGTGAGGAACTGGATACGCAGAAGGAGAAACCAAAGACCAAGACAGGTTCAAGTCTGAAGAAGGGGGGCGGGGTCACATTGTCTGGGAGGTGCAGGTCAGACCTGACTACATTCAACACTCTAGGTTGTTCATATCAAGCCCATTTTTTAGTTGAGGAGAATTAGACCCATAGACAGGAGAATGTTTTCCAGAGCATTCTGCATCTCTTCCTCCTCCTCCTCCTCCTCCTCCTCCTCCTCCTCCTCCTCCTCCTCCTCCTTCTCCTCCTCCTCCTCCTCACCTGAGCGCTGCCGCCCTGCGTTCCCCGCGTCCAGAGCGGTAGTTCTGCAGAGCCCCTTGGATGTCTTCCCGAATCAGCTCCGCCTGTCAATCATACTTTTAGACCTCCCCTCTTGCGCCCCACTCACTGTCCTCCCAGACCACTCTCCTGTTGTTAGCGCCCTGCCTCCTGCTGTCTTGGACGGACACCACGGACCCTCATCTTGGTTCTATCTGATCCCCAGACCATCTTCCCAGTTTTTTCTCAAGGCCTCAGAGTATCTCAGCCTTTCGCCTGCATCTTCTTCCCCTCATTGTGTTGAGTCTTGGTTCAGAATTCAACCTGTCCTCAAACCGAGCTACCTCCCAGACTTGCTTTCCTAGGCCCCGCCCCAAACAAGAAAGCGCCTCTGACTCCGCCCCAAAAGAAAGCCACATGGAGTCACGCCCACTCACCCCGAGGAGCAGGCCTTGGAAGAAATGGACGTCTGGTTGTGCACGCTCTGGCTCTTGGCACACCAAGAGCAGTAGCGAGCGACTCCGGCCCCGGGGTATCACCGCATCACAGCGTACGATGGCGTCAAGTGGATATGACTCTAGTTCCTCCTGCAGGATGGGACCAAAAGGTAAACGGAGATAGAGACTCCTGATACTTCTTCAGCAGTGCCCAGGAGCTGGGACAAGACAACTTCAAGAGTTTAGGGTCCTAGAAATAACACCCTGTCTAATAGCTGAGGTTGCAAAAGACAGCTCGCCAAAGTTCCCAGGGGAAGACCACTTAGGAGCCAAGATTCACACTCATATCCCAGCCCCTGTCGCTCTTTCTACCCACGTGAACCCTGACACCTTGGAGACCGGGTCAAGCAGAGTGACATGGCCAGGCGACACTCTCAGTAGCATCTCCTGTGCCCAGACGCGCCCCTGGCTGTCCATGACGGCCAGCTTCCTGGAAGCATCTTCCACCGTGTGCACGCCATCCTCCTCCCCCAAGCAGAAGGTGACCAGGTGCTAGCAGGAGACAAAGAAGGCAGTGAGTTCCAGGCAATGGTAGCCTGGTGCTGGGTGGGTTAAGCACCTCTGGAGGTGACTTCCAGTTCAAACCACACTTCTCCCAGAATCCTTTCCCTCAGAGCCTTGAGTCCAGACCTCAGTCCTCCCAGAGAACCAGCCCAGGCTCCAGCCCTCTTCCTTAAGACCCAGAAAACATCAAAAAACAAAACAAATCAGCAAAACAAGCCGGGCAGTGGTGGCCCACGCCTTTAATCCCAGCACTTGAGAGGCAGAGGCAGGTGGGTCTTTGTGAGTTCAAAGCCAACCTGATCTACAAAACTAGTTCCAGGACAGCTAGGACTGTTAACACAGAGAAACCTTGTCTCGGAAGCAAAGCAAAGCAAAACAAAACACCCAGCAAAATACCCCCCCCAAAAGAAAAGAAAAGAAAAGAAAAGAAAAAACAAAACCAACCCAACCAACCAACCAACCAACCAAAAACCGAAAACAAAAAAACAGCCTCTGAGCCACCAGGGCTCCTTCAGTGGCCAGCACTGGGTAGACGTCCTTCTAGTTCGGCCATCTTCTCACCAAGACTGGAGGTCCCTCAAGGGAAGGGAATAATAAGGATCTAACTCACTTAAGTGCTTCCTCTGCTCTGTATTACAGTATTCCACACCCTCTTGTGGGACCTCTTGAAGCTGCCATACAGAACTGTGGCTGATTTGTCCCTACATTGAGCACCGGGGATAGCTCAGAGGAAGATTAGATGGAACTGATTCAGTCTCAGGTAACGAGGAGGGACATCCAGAGGGAGAGACGGCTGTGTTTTCCTCGAGTCTCTCTCTCTCGCTCATTGGTTTTCCGAGACAAGGTTTCTCTATATATTAGTCGTGGTTCTCCAGGCTGGCCTCGAACCCTGAGATTCGCCTGCCTCTGCCTCCCAAGTACTGGGATTAAATGCGTGCACTGGCACCACTGGGCCCTAGAGTCCTTTCTGCTTTATGGACCATCTGTTTTCTAAAGCCCTGTCTCTTTCCCCAAGAGATTTCTTAGGAAAACAAAGACTCACATTGACATGATACTGGGACACGTCGGCCATAACCACAGTGGAGTAACGTTTCCTCTGTTCTAAGGGCAGGGAGGGGAAAGTACACCTAGGAGTCAGACTTCTGCCCTGTCTCTCAGATCCAGACCCCAGCCCTCCTCCCTCAAACCCAGGAGTCCAGCCCCAGCCCTCCTCCCTCAGACCCAGGAGTCCAGACCCCAGCCTCCTCCCTCAGACCCAGGAGTCCAGCTCCAGCCCTCCTCCCTCAGACCCAGGAATCCAGACCCCAGCCTCCTCCCTCAGACCCGGGAGTCCAGCCCCAGCCCTCCTCCCTCAGACCCAGAAGTCCAGACCCCAGCCTCCTCCCTCAGACCCAGGAGTCCAGCCCCAGCCCTCCTCCCTCAGACCCAGGAGTCCAGCCCCAGCCCTCCTCCCTCAGACTCAGTTCAGCCTCAGCCTCCTCCCTCAGACTCAAGACTATAGACTGTATTCTCTCTTTTCCCAAGACCTTCATTCTTGATCTTTTTTACACTCAAACTCACCATAGATAGACTTCGCACTTGGTTTGGGTGCAGCTTCAGGCCTGGTGAAGAAAAAATAAGGGCTGAGAGCAATGGTTCTCAACCTTCCTAATGCTGTGACCCTTTAATGTAGCTCCTTGTGTTGTGCTGACCTCCAACCATAAAATAATTTTTGTTGCTACTTCATAACTGTAATTTTGCTACTGGTATTAACTGTAATGTAAGTATTTGATATACAGGATATCTGATCGATATATGATCCCCATGAAGAGTCATCTGACCCCCAAAGGGGTCTTGACTCACAGGTTGAGAGCAACTATGGGGTGGTGATAGATCCTGCAGGAATGCCAGGCAAAGCTTCGAGGAGGGTAAAGGTGAGCCATGGAAAGTTTGATCAGGTGAGAACAGGGCAACACAGGTGTTTAAAAAGATGGTATAATGTGATAATGTGTGGGGGCAGAGACTGCTATGTTACACAGACCTGGGTTCAAATATTCTGTCTGTCTGTCTGCCTGCCTGCCTACTTCTGCCTCTGTCTCTCTCCCTGAGATGGGGTCTCCCTATGTATCCCTGGTTAGAACTCTCTTCCTCTCTATTAAAAATCCTTTTGCATTTTTGAGATAGGGTCTTGAAATCACTGTGTAGCTGAGGATGGTTTTGAACTTCAGTTCTTACTGCCTATACTCCCGAATGTGCTGGGAATATGAGCACACACTACAATATCCAGCTCTGGGTTCAAATTCATGGGACAGGTGGGGCTAGAGAGTTGGCTCAGTGGTTAAGAGAATTTGTTGCCTTTCTATAATATCCTGGTTTGGTTCCGGGCAACCAGGCTAGGCTGCTCACAACTACCCGTAATTCCAGCTTCAGGGGATCACACACACACACACACACACACACACACACACACACACACACACAGAGAGACAGACAGACAGACAGACACAGAAAGACACACACATACACACACACACACACACACACACACAGAGAGAGAGAGAGAGAGAGAGAGAGAGAGAGAGAGAAAGACAGAGATATATACAATTAAAATAAGACAGATTGATGTGGGAGATGATGTATGCTGTGAATATGTTTTATTGTCATTGGTTAATAAAGAAACTGCTTTCAGCTAATGGTTTAACAGAGTAAAGCCAGGCTGAAAGAGATATGTAGAGAGAGTAGGTGGAGTCAGGGAGATGACATATAGCTGCCCGCAGGAGACAGATGCACTGGAACCTTGTCGGTAAGCCAACAGCCATGTGGCGATACACAGATTAATAGAAATGGATTAATTTAAGATATAAGAGTTAGCCAGAAATACGCTTAAGTTATTGGCCAAACAGTATTGCAAATAACATAGTTTCTGTGTGATTATTTCTGTTCTGGGCAGTCGGGAACGAACAAGCAGCCTCCTCCAACAACAGACAGATGGCTAATCTTGGTTGTCACCTTGACTACATCTGGAATCAACTTAAATCGAAGGTGCTGGGCACGCCTGTGAGGGATTTTCTCAGTTAGATTACCTGAGGTGGGAGACCCACCCTAACCCAGGATCACGCCTGTGGCAGAAGCCCCCACAAAAGGATGTGGAAGTAGGAAACTCCTGCTTTTTGCCTGCTTGCCCTCACTCTCTCTGGCAGGTTCATATCCTGTTGCCAAGGCAGGATACTAGAACACATTTCACTGATACTAGAACACATTTCTTCAGGATTCCAATGCAGAGAGAGAACCAACAGCTTTCAAGGAATCCGTGGGGACTTCAGCACCAGACAGGGACTGCTCACACATCCAGTTTGGGAAACTGAACAATGACTGGATTCCTGGCCTTTCTGTCATGAGACAGTCATTGTTGGGCTACCCAGATCACAGCATGTAAGCTACTTCAATAAGTCGTGTGTGTGTGTGTGTGTGTGTGTGCGTGTGTGTGTGTGTGTGTGTGCGCACGCGTGCGTGCGTGCATGTGTGGTGTGTGTGTTCTACCAGTTCTGTCCCTGTAGGCAACACTGACTAATACAGAAGGGCAGAATCTTGTGTGATTAGGGCATACTCGTCATTCCAGCACTCAGGAGACAGAGATGGGAGGATTTCTGTAAGTTTGAGGCCTGCCTGAGCTATATAGTGAGACCCTGTCTCTAAATAAAGAAGAGCCAGACTCTGTAAACAAAACAACACCAAAAGAACTCAAATGAACAGACAAACAAACAAACAACACAAACAAATAAGACCTCAGGGCTGGAGAGATGGTTGAGCAGTTGAGAACACACTCTTGCCAGGCAGTGGTAGAATATACCTTTAATCCCACTTGGGAGTAAGAGGCCAGCCTGGTCTACAGAGCAAGTTCCAGTACAGCCAGGGCTAAACAGAGATGCCCTGTTTGAAAAACAAACAAACAAACAGAACAAGCTCTTCCAGAGGACCCAAGTTCAGTTCCCAACACCCACATCAGGCAGTTCACGACTGCCCGCAACTCCAGCTCCAGGAGATGCAGCGCCCTCTTCTGACCTCTGCAGGCACCACACTTGTGTACACAAGTGCATACAGGCAGACAGATAGACACACACACACATAAATAAAAATAAAAGTAAACCTACAAAAAGAAAACCCCGACAAGACCCTGGTAAGGGGACTTAATCTTTCCAGCCTCAGTTTCCCTTCCCGCAACATAGTACAGCATCTGCCTGGTGTGGCTGTTGTATAAATAGAACCTGGTAGGTGATGTATTCTTCAGTCTTGATAAGATTTGGTATTATTCTGATTATGATGATGCCCAGCATTTATCACACAATAGTTCTCAATAAATGAGAATTGATGCAATGATTTTCACTAGCCGGAGTGGGCATGGAATTATCTCCTTTCCCTTCCACCACGGTTTAGATCTTCCCAGGCAAGCTATTCCCTGTCTCTTCCTGTCCTCCGTCTCCTCTTAAAATTACTGCTTGCAATAATTCTTTTTTGTTGAGACACAGTCACATGTAGCCCAGGCTGACCCCAAAGCTGAGGTTGATTTTGAACTCCTGATTCTCCTGCCTTTATATCCTAAGTACTGGGAATATAGGCATAATCCTCCATGACTGGTTAATTCACTTAGATGTGTTTTGAAACAGAATCTCACTATGTAGCCATAACTGGCTTGGAACTTGCTATATAGACCAGACTAGCCTTGAACTTGCAGAAATTGGCTTGCCTCTGCCCTTTGAATGCTGGGATTAATGTTGTGCCCATGCCTTGTTAATGTGGTGGTGTGGATTAGAGTCCCCCTCCACCCCAGTATTTCATACATGCTAGGCAAGCACTCTCCTAGCTGAGCCACATCCCCACTCCTTGTAATTTTTTAAATCCCCATTTCTACCAGAAAAACAGCAGGTCAGAGCTAGGCAATCAAGTCTAGTTAGACTCTTGCCTTTCATCCTGATCCTGCTTGGGGCACGTTGCTACATTTGAGGACCTCCGAGCTGGAGAGCTCACTGTTTAGTTTCTGCCACTCTTTGTCTTCCTGTACAAGCCCCCGCCCCCAACCAGGAGATCCAAGTCTTCATCATCCTCACAACTTTCTAGCCGAGGGTCGATATTTAATACTAAGATAAGGACAGGAGCCATGGCCGTTCCTAAAGACAGGAGTGCCTGCTGTGGGAAGGGCCGGCTGAGTCCTGTCGTGCGTGCCTGATTCTATCAACACTCGAAATATGTCCCCAATTCCCATTTATCGAGAAAAGGGGGTGGGTTCCAGGAGGTGACATGCCTCTGCCCAGAGCCACACCATGGCAGAGTATGCATATTTACAAATGAACCCCGTCTGTCTGTGCCTAGCCACAGGCTGGGCAGGGAGGGGAACATTCCTCCTGAGTGTCTAGAGCCTGGGTTGTAGAAACAGGATTTGCAGGTGTGGGGGAAGGGTGGAGGGGCAGGGGGGCACTTACCCCGTGGTGGTGCTCATGGTGGCAGGATGAGTGTGCTGTCCACCTGGAGGTGCCCTGAGAGCCAGCAAAGACGTGAGTGACTGACTCGGCTCAGTGACGTGACCCTGACTCAACCCTCCTCCCTCAGACCAAGTTGTCCAGGCCCAGCCCGGCTCCTTTAGACCCAGGAGTCAAGACTTGACCATTTCCCCTCATCTAGGGGCGAGCCCCCAGCCCCTTTCCTTAGACTCAGGACTGAACCCTCCTCCTTTAGACCCTGAAGTCCAGATCTCAGCTCTCCTTTCTTACACCCAGACTTCCAAGTTCCAGCCATTTTTCCTCAGATCCAGGGGGCCAGGGAGAACGTTATCCCTCAGATACAAGAGTTGAGACCCCAGGTCTCCTTGTTCAGACCCAGGGATTCAGGGAGGACCTCATCTCTCAGATCCAAGAATTTAGACTCCAACCCTCCTTGCTCAGACCTAGGGGCCCAGAGGTTCCTTATCCCTCATATCTGAGAGTCTAGACCTCAGCTCTCCTCCCTCAGACCCAGGGGTCCAGGCTCCAGCTTGCATCCTTCATATTCAGATATCCAGCCCCCAGCTCTCTCCTCCCTCACACCAGGGTTGGTCTGGCCTGGCCGCTCCGGAGTTCAGGCTTCCTCACCTGCCTGCTGATTCTGTCTGACTCTCAGCCTTCAGCTCGCCCTCCCTTGTATTCTAGACTCCTCCTTTGCCTCCTCCCAGGCCTTGTGGCTCCTGCATACCTGAGCGCTCACCTGGCACTGCTGGCCTGAGGTGGCTCAGGGGCGGGGTTGGCACACAGTCTCAAGTGCGGGGGCTGGGCTGGCTGCAGGGGATCCCGGAAATTATGTGTGTCCGCTGTAACAACAGAATAACAGCAGCAATTTGCTGCCACGCTTGTTCGCACATCTGAGTGAGAAGCTCCTCCTTAAATATATCTTTGAGTCTTCCTTGGCACTGGGGGTGGGGTAGAGGCTGGATTTCCTATTGACTGACTAGTAAGGAAGTTAAGGCGTGGCGTGGTTGGGCCACTTGTTCATACGGCTAGGTCACCAAGAGAGTGTGTGGGGGAAAAGGAGATCAAACACTGACTGCATCTCTAGGGCCACCATGTGTTCTGGCTCCCAGGACACACAGCCACTGCTGCCCTGGCTTCAGGCTCCACCTACCCTCTTCCATCTTCCTTGGAAAATTTCCCTCAGTCATCCCTATGGAGCCGAGGGATAAGACTTGTCTCCTGTGAACCTTTAACACAGTTCCTCATGTTGTGGTGGACCCCCCAGCCATAAAATTACTTTGTTGCTACTTTGTAACTGTGATTTTACCACCATATGAATCATTATGATATGATTCATATCATAATGTAAATATCTGATGTCATGACCCGGAGGTTGAGAACCACTGACAAGGCCGGATGTGGTGGCTCACTCCTGTAGCACCAGCTTGGAGGCTGAGGCAGAAGGACTGTGTTGAGTTTGAGGTCAGCCTAGGCTATGTAGTACTTTCAAGGCCAGGCCAGGCTACAGTGTGAGCCCCTGTCTGGGGATGCAGTTCAGTCAATACAGTGATTACCTAGCACACATGAAGGCCGGGGTCAGTCCCCAGCATCACATAAGCCGAGCACAGATATGCACGTGTGACCCAGCACATAGAAGGTGGAGGCAGGAGGACCATGAGTTCAAGGGCATCCTCAGATGCACAGTGAGTCTGAGGCTAGCCTGGTCTACAATGGGTTCAAACAATGGTGGTAACAACAAAGCCTAGACCTAAACTAACAGCCCAGCTTTCCTGGTACATCCTTGGAATCTTGTTGTCAGGTATCTTGTTCCACGGTCCTCAGTGACTAAGCTGTACACACCGTGTCTTCCCCAAACCCATGATGAGTGTGTGTCTTTACCGAGAAGAAGAAACTGAGGACCAGTATACTCACGTATTAGGCCAAACAGTATTTGTAAGAGCCACGTTGTGGAATCAGCTGAGGTGCCTAGAATGTTTGAATGGACAAGGAAAATGTGGTACACATATACAATGGAGCACTATTCAGCCACAAAGAAGAAATGGTGTCGTCATTTGTGAGAAAATCAGTGGAACTGGAGAGCACCACATTAAGTAAAAATGTCAGCTGTGCACTGTGTGTGTGTGAATGTGTGTGTGAGTGTGATGGTGTATGTGTGAAGGCCAGACAATAACTTGTGCAGTCAGTTCTCTCCTTCCAATATGGAGCATGTCAGCTGTGCACTGCATGTGTGTGAATGTGTGTGTGCACATGATGGTGTATGTGTGAATGTGTGTGTGCACATGATGGTGTTTGTGTGAAGGTCAGACGGCTGTGCACTGCGTGTGTGAGTGTGTGTGTACATGATGGTGTATGTGTGAAGGCCAGAGAATAACTTGTGCAGTCGGTTCTCTCCTTCTACTCTGGAGGATGTCAGCTGTGCACGCATGTGTGTGAATGTGTGTGTACACATGATGGTGTATGTGTGAAGGCCAGACAGCTGTACACTGCATGTGTGCACGATGGTGTATGTGTGAAGGCCAGAGAATAACTTGTGCAGTCGGTTCTCTCCTTCCACTCTGGAGGATGTCAGCTGTGCACTGCGTGTGTGAGTGTGTGTGTACACATGATGGTGTATGTGTGAAGGCCAGAGAATAACTTGTGCAGTCGGTTCTCTCCTTCCACCGTGGAGGTGGCTTTGGGGGCTGATATCAACTTATCAGGCTCTGTGGCAAGCGCCTTTACTCACTGGGCCATCTCACCTGCCATGTTAAGCAAGAAGACCCTGTGTATGTTGGCTGCCAGTTAGTGGATGGAATGTCAGATTTGAAGCCTGCAAAACCCAGAAAGCAGATGAGGGGGCAACTCCTTGGCTCTCCCCTCCTTCACTCTGTGGTTCCCATCTGGTCTTATTCACCCACTATCGTTTCTTTCCCGGATCATGGAGGAGCTTGACAAGGCTCTCCCTGCTGTGTACTTGACCCCTGCAGTGTCGCCTCAATTCAGGGACCCTGAAGGACCCTAGATCCACATTTGGTTCCTGGATTCTTCTTCGATAAAAGATTCTTCATCTTTCAGATCTGACCTTACTTCTCCCTCCTCTGTGTTTGAGCAGAGAATTTCTTTCACTGTTCCTCGAACTCCAAATCCCAACCTACCACAGGGTCTTTGCTGGGGCTGGACTCTGAGGGAGGAAGGCTGGGCCTGGACTCCTGGGTCTGAGGGAGGAAGGCTGGGCCTGGACTCCTGGGTCTGAGGGAGGAAGACTGGGTCTGAACTCCTGGGTCTGAGAGACAAGGCTGAGCCTTGCTTCTCTTTGAGGAGCTGCGGAGCCCACCCACTGTCCCACCCTCCAGTTCTGCCCACCACTACTTCTGGTTGTGTGCAGTCCAGACAACACTGAAACCTGACCCTCCACCCTCATTCCAGAGCAAAGAGCTCTTCCTCCTTTCCCCTCCCTCTCTCTAAACTGTAGCTTTGGCTCCCAAAGTCAAGCGAGGCTCCCACCCCTCGCAAACCTGACTCAGTCAGCCCGGGGTGGAGGCTGAGAATGTCTCCCTGGACAACTCACCTGAGGAATCCCTCCCTGAAGAAGCCTTTCCACCCTGTGCCTGCTCATCCAGCCATGGAGGACCTCCAGTGGGACTGATCATCACCCGATCAGTCTTGCCTCAGTGAGCACCTTAGTTCACTGTAGTCCAGGAGGTGGGATTTTCCTCGTTCACATAGGGCCTTGGTGTGCTGCTGGTCCTTGACATTT